AGCCAGATCACAGTTTTTTAGCCTCCGGCTCACACATTTTTGTCTCCGCTCAGGATGGATGGCTCCAGAGCAAACTGATTTATGCAGTAGGCAGTGTCCAAATCGCTCTCTCGCAACTTTAATGCCAGTCGCTCACAAAGTATTATTTTTGCTCACAAGACGCCACAGCTTAGAGGGAGCGTTAGTGTCACCTCCCCCAATTTAATTCAGGTGGCGAAGCATCAAACCAGCTCTCCATGTTGCACCAAAGGCGGACCAAGGGGGCTGGCCCCTTCCCACAGCCGGCAGGCTAGCGGCAAACCAGGCCCTCAGGTGGCGAAGCATCAAACCAGCTCTCCGTGTGTCGCTCCCGAGGGACCAAAGGCGGACCAAGGGGGTTGGCCCCCTCCCACGGCCAGCAGGATAGCGGCAAACCAGGCCCGTGTTACCACCCGGGGGGGGGCAGAGGCGATATGGGGGGGGGGTCAGAAGAGGCTGGCAGTCTAGTGGCGCACCTTTTCTGGGGCTGCCTGCCCCTTCGCAAGCGAGGCCCCTTCCCATCCGTACAGGCCACCCTGCTCTTTGCCCCAGGAGCCCGGGGTGTGTGTGTAGAACCTTGTGGGTAAGTTAGTCAAAAACACCATCAAAGATTGCCAAAAACAGCATATTAAACAATTATAAAGTTGGTGGTGTCACAACAACATTAATGCGTACTGTAACTATAAGAAGGCATACTACTACTACTACTACTAATAATAATAATAATAGATTGGATTTATACCCCACCCTTCACTACCCAAGGGAGTCTCAGAGCGGCTTACAAACTCCTTTCCCCTCCCCTCCCCTCCTCACAACAGACACCCTGTGAGATGGGTGGGGCTGAGAGAGCTCTTGGCAGAAACTGCTCTTTTTTAAAGAACAGCTCTTATCAGAACTATGGCTTGCCCAAGGTCATCCATCCAGGTGCAAGTGGAGGAGTGGGGAATCAAACCCTGTTCTCCCAGATTAGAGTCCGCGCACTTAACCACTACCCCAAACTGGCTCTCCAGTTTGCATCCATAAGATACTAATATTTCCTCCTTTAAAGATAAGACATAAAGTCCATGTAGTCAGTGTAACTTGATAGGAGGAGTCCACATAGTCGTAACATTGTCCAAACAGCCTTTGCAAAGACGCCCATTCTAGATACTTGGAAGATGTGTTTCCTTTGACTTCTTCAGTTTGCCGGCTGTGTAAGAGGAACCTGATTTCAGCCATTTCAACAGACCACAAGATTCATAGTGTAAGAAGCGAATCATAGGAAAATGACTACAAGGATTCCTCCTATCAAGTTACACTGATTACATGGGACTTTATGTCTTATCTTTAAAGGAGGAAATATTAGTATCTTATGCCTTATTATAGTGACAGTATGCACTCATGTTGTTGTTGTGACACCACCAACTTTACAATTGTTCAATATATTGTTTTGGCAATCTTTGATGGTGGTTTCTACTAGTGGGATTTGTATATTTGGAAACTCCTGTGACACTAGTCTTTTCCCCTTGTTGTTTGGGTTTGTGGGAAGGTTAGGCTGAGAGATGGTCGGGAGGGGTGTTTACTGGAGCCTTGAACCGGAGTCTCCCACCCACGGCCATGTTGCTTTGCCCAGGCGCAATCCCTGACAGCATCCCCAGTCAAAAGGAACGGATAGTCGGGGATGGGAAAGACTTCTCCTCGAGATGGGGAGAGCTCCGGCCACTCAAAGCAGACTATTCTAGCCTCGATAGGCCAACAGTGGGTATGGGCACTTCGCCCTCTTTCCCAAACCTGCTTTGAGACAATCTTTGACAGAAAAGCGCCTTCGGATGCCGCATGGATGAAAAGAGATAAGGTCTTGCTGGCCCTGCCCACACGGTACCATTTTCCGTACCCATGGCTGCCTCCCCGCCCCTTTTCACTTTTTTTTAAATCAGAAATTGCTAAATCATGATAGTACAGTAACATTACAACAATCTATCGCAGGCTGCACATTTCCCTTTATAACTCCACAACAAAAAGGCCCATAAACCTGAGAACAGGCGCACTGTTGCAGTACATTGCTGTAGCATGCAACAATCCTATTGCTTTACATTTTAGGTACGGTGGGAGGAGGCTGCGAGCCATAGGGGGTGGAGGAAAACAGTTCCAGTTGGCGGCTGGACTCATCGACCCTCCAGGAAGCACCCCCCCTCCTTCCAGAACGTCACCAACAACTGAAAGGCCACATTCCCTTACTGCCTCTGTGCCTGGGTCTGTCCCCGCCCAGCGGGCATCCTCACCTCCTTGATTTTCTTCTCTACCTCTGTAGTCGGTCGTTGCCCACCGGAGGGGATTGCGGGGCAGACTATTCTAGCCTCGATAGGCCAACAGTGGGTATGGGCACTTCGCCCTCTTTCCCAAACCTGCTTTGAGACAATCTTTGACAGAAAAGCGCCTTCGGATGCCGCGTGGATTAAAAGAGATATGGTTTTGCTGGTCCTGCCCACATGGTACCATTTTCCGTACCCATGGCTGCCTTCCCCCCTTTTCACTTTTTTTTAAAATCAGAAATTGCTAAATCATGATAGTACAGTAACATTACAACAATCTATCGCAGGCTGCACATTTCCCTTTATAACTTCACAACAAAAAGGCCCATAAACCTGAGAACAAGTACATTGCTGTAGCATGCAACAATCCTATTGCTTTACATTTTAGGTACGGTGGGAGGAGGCTGCAGCCATAGGGGGTGGAGGAAAACAGTTCCAGTTGGCGGCTGGACTCATCGACCCTCCAGGAAGCACCCCCCCTCCTTCCAGAACGTCACCAACAACTGAAAGGCCACATTCCCTTACTGCCTCTGTGCCTGGGTCTGTCCCCGCCCAGCGGGCATCCTCACCTCCTTGATTTTCTTCTCTACCTCTGTAGTCGGTCGTTGCCCACCAGAGGGGATTGCGGGGGGCCCCATGGCTCCTTTGGGGGCTGTCCTGGGAGGCCGCAGCTCCCTCTCCCTGGCACCCGGAGGGCAGTCAGGTTTGGGCAGAGCCCAGGAAGGGAGGGCCGGGTTAGGGAGCCGGGCGGCCAGCTTGGGGGCTCGAGGCTCGGGGGGCTGGGCTGACGGGAAAGGGCCCGGCAGGTCGCTGAAGCGCCGGCGGGAGGCAGCAGAGGGGTTGTCCGGCTTGAAGGGGGGGATCCGGGGTTTGTTCCGCAGGACGCTGAATTCAGAAATGGACTCCAAACTTTTGGAGAGGCCTAAAGGGAGAAACACACAGTGAAGGGTGTGAGTTTCACCGTAGGGAAGAGGACCAGAACTCCTGGGTCCTGTTTCTGTCCTGGGCAGGGGAGCCGGCCAAGAAGAGACTCACGTGTCAAGCGCAGGAGCTGCTGGGCGTCGGCCCGCTTCTGGCCACCGGCATTCCCCCCCGTGGCTTTTGGTTTCTTCCTAGAGGAGCAAACACAGCCCCTTGGTTAATGACATTATCTGCTACCAGCGCAGGGGCCATTATTTAGCCTTCCGAGCCTGTAGTGGTCCTCGACATAAGAGAAGCAATGTTGGATCAGGCCAATGGCCCCTCCAGTCCAACACTGTCACACAGTGGCCAAAAATACCAGGGGCCATCAGGAGGTCCAGCAGTGGGGCCAGGACATCACCTCCATCATCTTCCAATCACAATCTTGCCTTTTCACGACCCAATCACATCGGCTGCAAACAGCTGGGCTTGTGTTAGCCATGTTTGCCGCAGTACAGGATTATGCTGGGGGGAGCGGTGCAATGTCAAAACTGACCCATAGATGGCAGCCAACCACAATCCAGGGTACAGCCCCAATGGCAGCCTTTCACACATGCAGGTGGCTGGCCTAAGATATTTTCCCCATCTGACTAGAGTGTCGGACCAGGAACTGGGAGACCCAGGTTCGAATCCTCACTCTGCCATGGAAGCTTGCTGGGTGACATTGGCACAGTCACTTGCTCTTAGCCTAGCCTACCTCATGGGGTTGTTGTGAGGATAAAACAGAGGATAAGTGAATTACGTAAGGCTCCTTGGGTCTCTGTTGGTGGCCGGGGCACAAATTTCCTTATTTGTTTATTTCACTGGGTGGTGCCCAGCACTGGCCCAACTGATGCCAAGGAGTGACCTCAGGTCGGTAACCTCCCGGTGGGGGCCTGGAGATCTCCCAGAATTACAAGCGATCTCCAAATCTACAAACTACAGTAGGGTGTAGTGGTGAAGTGTGCGGACTCTAAGCTGGGAGAACCAGGTTTGATTCCCCACTCCTCCACATGCAGCTGCTGGATGACCTTGGGTCAGCCACAAGTTCTGTCAGAGCTGTTCTCTCAAGGACGGTTCTGGAAAGAGCTCTCTCAGCCCCACCGACCTCACAGGGTGTCTGTTGTGGGGAAGGGAAGGGAAAGGAGTTCGTAAGCCATTCTGAGACTGCCCGTGAAGGGCGGGGTATAAATCCAATCTCTTCCTCCTCCTCCAAATGACAAGAGACCAGTTTTCCCAGAGAAAAAGGTTGTTTTGGAGGGTAGACTCCATGGCCTTATACCCCACTCGGGTCCCTCCCCAAGCGTCACCCCCCAAATCCCCAGGAATTTCCCAACCCAGACTTGGCAACCGTAGAGAAGGTTGTAATGTGGGGGGCCTCAGCGGCCACCCTTTTCCCTGTGCCCAGCATCAGGACTAGCCCCGAAAGACTGGACTCCGCTCCCCCCCCCTCCACGTACTCCATCCGGTCCGGCGCCCCCCAGCTCCGGTCGGGCTCCACGTCCCCGTGAGCCAGGTGAAGAAAGGAGCTGCGTAGCGGGAGGCTGATGTGAGGGCTTCCTGAAGGGGGCGCCGTTTCTTCCGGCGCCGCGATGGACGAGGGGAAGGTGCCGACCTTGAGGGTCCGCTTGTTCTGTCCACGCCAGTTGGAAGAATCGGGACTGGAAAAGAAGGCAGAGGGGTGGAGTAGGTGTGAGAGGGAGCCCCCGTGCATTACCTTGCCCCCCCAGCCCCCAAAGAGAATGGTCACACACACCCCAACCCTCCTTTTGGCTGCTTTGATAGGCCAGATTTGTGCTCACAAACAGGATGTGAGAATTAAAACAACAAACGAGAGAGGCCCCGGGCCAAAACAAAACCCCACCCAGTCAAAACTTAGACTGTAGGCTCCTTGGGGCAGGGCCCAGTCCTGTCCTCTCACTTGCTTATTATTTCACTCGGTTAAAGTGCCCGTACGTGGATGACGCAATGGGAACAAACTTTTTAAAAAAATTATATTTGGCTTTTTAAGATGGTATAAAAAACCTCTGCCAAGAGACTACAACGCAGTGCAAGCACCAGGCAAAGAGGCCAACCGGCAGTTGAAACCGACACGAGGGAAAGCAAAAACAAAAGATCTGTTTTTAAACCTGGGGCCCCGAAAGGTACCACAGTGGTCCCGCCTGAATTTCTGCAGGGCAGACAGTCCATAAAGGAGGAGTCACCTTAGAAAGTCCCTTCCTCTGGTTGCCACCTGCCCAGACAGTCAAACTCTGGTAGTTGTGGAAAGTGTGGTCAAGTCACAGCGGCCTTATAGAGACCCCTTGTAGGGTTTTCAGGGCAAAGAGCCATACAGAGGGGGCTGGCCATCGCCTGTCTCTGCACAGCAACCCGGATTTCCTTGGAGGCCTCCCGTCCCAGTACCAACCAGGGCCGACCCTCCTCAGCTTCTGAGATCTGGCAGGTCCCGGAAGGGGAAGCTGGCCGGTCACCCCCTGCAGCGGTTACGTCTGGGAGCTGGCCGAGCCCCTGGGCGGCATCACTGCCCTCCGAGTGGGTGGCTTGGCCAGAGAACCATGCCCAGCTGAGGCTGAACGGGAGCCTTGAGAGA